TCGTTTAGGAGGTGGGCGATGCGGGCAGAGAGTGAGGGGGTGAGGTGGGGGGTGGAGAGGTAAATTTGGGTGTCGTCGGCATAGAGGTGGTAATTGAAGCTGTGGGAGTGAATAAGTTTGCCAAGGGAGGAGGTATAGATGGAGAAGAGGAGGGGCCTGAGGACAGAGCCTTGGGGGACCCCAACAGAGAGGGGGAGGGAGGGGGAGGTGGCAGTGTTGTAGGTGACGCTGAAGGAGCATTGGGAAAGGTAGATGGCGAACCAGGAGAGAGCAGCGTCCTTGATGCCAAGGGAGTGCAGTCTTTTCCACCTATATCTAAAGATCAATTACAAGCCTATACATTCCGTTTAATAGAAGAGACCAGAAAGGTGGAGTTATACTTTATTGTCCTATGTCGAATGAATGAGGACTTAATAGATGTTTTCTGTTTGAGAAGAGAGCAAGCTGGACGTTTTATAGCACGTTGTTGTTTTTATTCTTCCAATTCCAACCAGCTGTGTTGCCATCAGTCATCAATAATAGAATTATCTAACAGAGGCATTGTACGGAAACTAATCACTATTTCCTTCCTGGGAAAACTTCAATAGTACCGCATGACAAAGACTAATTAAGATTATGAAGTGTACTGTCCTAGGAAAAATGTCTTCTGTATCTACAAATAATGGAACCTTGTTCATTCAAACTGAGATTAAACATGGCTGCCAGAGTTCAGGATGATTTAAAGTCCATTCTTATCACTGTAGAGCAATTGTATTTTTAGACATCAATGGGGTAAGTTCACACAGCTATGTTTTCATTGTTCACATAGGATGTCCCAAAGCAGCCTTGTTCCCATGCATATGCTTGAAAGTACAATAGTTTTATTAAGGGCCAATTCACACTCTATGCGGTGACAGATGTTTAAATGCAGGTCACAAAGGTGCATTTGCCTGCAGTGGATCGCATGGTACATAATATCCATGCAATCCGGTTGCAACGTGTTTCTAAAATTGGTGTATGCAGTACTTTGGTGCAATGCAGTGCAGCTTGAGCCCATTCAAAATGAATGGCTCAAATTGAGCCCCACTGAATCTCATGTGAATTGCACAGGAATGTGCTGCGCTTCATGTGCGATTCATAGTGTGAACCTAGGCTTTTTCCACAAAATTCAGACACGATTTTTTTTTTTTTAGTGCAGTCCATTGCAACACACTGCATGTGTGATTTTGTCCACCAGAGTGCGGGTATGTTGTTGCTACTGTAATAGTGGGTTGGGGTGCCAGCAGGGGCGGACTGACAACTCTTGGGGCCCCCGGGCAATAGGTGGTCATGGGGCCCCTGTGTCCTTGCCCACACTGAAAGCACATCCAAAAAAAGAGTATAAAAGGTATCAGGGGCATTTCATGGGGCCCCTTACTGACCCCGGGCCCTCGGGCAGTGCCCAAGTTCTCAAATGGTCAGTCCGCCCCTGGGTGCCAGTCATCTTGCAGTGTTTTACTGCATGTTTTATTAATTTATCTTTTACTGCATATTTTATTAATTTATCTTTTATTTTATTTACTACAGGTACTTGTATAGCGCCATCAATTTACGCAGCGCTTTACATATATATTGTACATTCACATCAGTCCCTGCCCGTAAGGGGCGTACAATCTAAGGTCTCTAACTCACATTCATACATAAACATACTAGGGCCAATTTAGGGCTTGATAATGCTTGTTCCCAGTGGTTGCCCTTACCTTGCAAGCCTCCCCATAATTCAACAGTAAATGATAATAATTATAATGTAAGAGACACAATTCTTTAGTAACACCTCTATATTAGTCTTGTTCAAAGGAGTAGGCCAAAAGAATAATGGGTTTAGGATATATAAACCCCCCGTAAACACATACAAATAGTACAATAGTAAAATAGATATAATCAATTAGCAATGTTTAAAAAAAATATATAAAGTCATGTGTAGTAAGCTTCAACTATTAAACTGCAACACCAGCAGTAAGAGGGGAAGAAAAGGCTTGTTGACTTATTAGCTCCCTCTAGGCCACTGGCACCGCCATAGTTGATGCATTATGTAAATATATACTCTGGTATAAATGGATATTAATTAAGTATGCAAATTGTATTCTAAACTGAATAACAATGTCCTTAGAAGAGAAGAGGTCCCTTTTAACCCCTTCACACCTAAGGGTAAAACAAATCTTAATGCCTAAGGAAAATTTTACAACTTTGACATGTGTTAGTAAAACCGTACATATCATCACAACTACTTTGTATTTCCAGGTGAATTATACCTCAGGACAAATTGGGCTTTTATTTGGTGGTAAATGGTAATGGATATCTCCTGATTTTTTTATTATCAAACAAAAAGAGGCCCAAAAATCATTTCTTTTAAATTAACTGTGTGTTTCTTGTTACTACTATAACTTTCCACCAAAGAACAACCCAAAAGAAATTCTCCAGCTCTTGACAATCGCAGTGGTATCACATATGTTATTTGTTGTTTGTACCTGTAACACAGCCCAGAAACAATAGTGCGCATTTTGCTTTTTTTTTTTCTTAAATACACTGACACTAACTGACACTGATACCAATTTAAAAAAGAAAAAAAAAGACCCTTACCTTTGACCCTGACTGTGACCCAAACACTAACCCTGTCACTGAACTAGATTAAACCTAGAGAGACAGATACAATGACTGATCACTATGATAGCCAATCAGAGGCTATCACAATGATCATGTGACCCGGATTTGGGAGTTCCGGTCCCAATTGTTAGAACGGGACCCAGGGTTCTCAATGACACCCCGGTCTTTGTGCTGGAAGCATGCCGTGTGAGTTCTGTGAGGCCACATATTTGTGTGATGTCGGTGCCAAGGGGTTGACTAGAAATTGCAACTTGAGTCCTGTGATGTTTAAAGTTCCTGATATGGTGGTGTCCCTTGTCTTCTGCTAGCAATGGTGGGGTCCATAAACATTAGTGAATTCTAGTTATTCAAAGAAGTTAAACAGATAAGCTGTGCTACTGCTCAAAGCAAAGATCTCCTGATACTGAGGTGTAAATGTGTTTCTTTTGCCTGTGTGCCCACAGAGAAGACACAGACCACAATGAAAGCCTGACAGTGGCTCTAACTCTTCTTCAGTCATTACATAACAAAGCAGAACATTTTGGCTGGCATTCAGCTATAAAGGAAACCACTAGCTTCCTGGCTGACCTGGGACAAGTATGAATGTAGCACCCTCCAAGTTAGCTAGGGGGGGAGCTCTAGTTCAATTGTTAGTGAGGAGGGCTGAGTAGCAGCCTGGGTGTGATAGCCAGGTGGGTCAGAGCTGAGAGGCTCTGCAGACCATCTCTCTGGGACTTCCCCCTGATCTGCAACTTTGGAGAAAGATCTAGAATCAGTGCGGGTGGAGGTGAGGAGTGGATGGTCTGTACTCTTAGAGGATCCTGGCCAATCCCCAACAGGAGGCTTGGCAAGGGGCCAGGACAGCCTTTAAGAGTAACTGAGCCTGCTCAGTGGGAGGAGTAATTCGAGTGGAAGATGGAGAGGAAGTGAGGCTGGAGGGCAAGAGCTTGTGAGGGGGCCCAAATGGAGAGGGGATCACCTACAGTTAGTGGAGCTTGGAAAGAGGAAAGCTCAGAACTTCACTGGCCCCCAGAGCGAGGATCACTTGTGCAGCAGGGAAGGAGTGCCCAGCTAGAAGGCCTGGTAGCAGCCACCAGCAGCACAGGAGAATGACTAAGTGAGTAAACCTGCACCCCCCGGGCCAGTAAGGGGAAAAAGGCACTCTGGTGGGAAACTGGATTAGCTTTTTACCTGGGACTGTTAGTTCTGCAGTGGCAGGCCCTGGAACCCCTGTCCAGGGAAACACCCAGTACAGCTGGATGAGGAGAGGATTCATCTGGGGTCTGAAGTGGTACTATAGGAGATGCTGGCTAGCTCTCCAGGAGTGAGACTTGTTGCTGTAAAGACTTGTGCATAGCTGCTAAGGAGTTGCCATTACCTTTGGGCATCCCATACACCCCTTACCCTATCCATGTTAAATCCTTTAATAAAATCCCCAAAAAAACAAGCTCAAGGACTGCTTACTGTCTCCTGGATGCAAGTCTATGTGGAACACGTGTGTTGCCTGGCTGTTCAGGACTATAGAGGGACTCAAACTTCAGCGACTCCTAAGGGAGCAGTGCTACATGTACATGAGGAGTTATGGCTTTCTAACCTGTGCACATGCACATTCAGATCAGTGACACCAAAGACAGTCAGGTAACTACTCTTATTAGGAGGGGTCAGCAATGGCAGCTCTGTAATGTTCTCTATACACATTTTCTTGGATCTCTGGGATCCAAAACCCACTGCACATGACATGGTTTTGATAGTGATCCATCTCTAGAGAATGGGGGGGGGGGAGGATCTCTAGAGAATGTAGACTTGATCTCTGTACTCAGGTCTTGTTCAACCATTAGGACCAGTGTAATGTCTACTGATCAGTGACTCATCCCATGTTGAATGGCTAGGATGGCAGGGTTCCTCTGGGGTAAAAAAAGGTTGAGAAGGCTGTTCTAGAATAAGAAGCATGCATGGTCTCCCTTTTTAAAATTTTCACCAAAGTTCCACTTGCCCTCCAGAGGATTTACCCCCCTCTTCCTGACCAGGCCATTTTTTGCGATACGGTGCTGCGTTACTTCATCTGACAATTGCACGGTCATGCAACTCTGTACCCAAATGAAATGTACTTCCTTTTTTTCCCACAAATAGAGCTTTCTTTTGGTGGTATTTGATCACCTCTGCATTTTTATTTTGTTTGCTATAAAGAAAAAATACTGACAATTTTAAGAAAAAAAAAAACAATATTTTTTTTACTTTTTGTTATTAACTAGTTGCCGACCGCAGATAGCCGAATGACGGCTGCACCGCGGCCGGCCAGTTCTGGGTGGACATCATATGACGTCCTCCCAGAACGCGCTCTCCTGCGCGCCCCAGGGGGCGTGCACCCGGCGATCTCCGTGATCGCTGTGTCCTACGGACACAGCTGATCATGTGATGTGGTAAAAGGCCAATCACAGCGGCCTTTTACCACGTGATCAGCGGTGTCCAATGACACGCTGATCACAGGGAAATGCAAGTGCCGGTTCTCGGCTGCACTTTCCTCACACTGTCAGATCGTGAGGAAAGTACTGCCGAGAACCGGCAGTTATCAGAGCGAGGATCGGCACCGATCATCAGGGCACTGATGATCAGTGCCCTGATGATCGGTGCCATGCAGTGCCACCCACAAGTTCCGCCCACCTGTGCCCAGCAGTGTGCCCACTAGCTCCGCCCACCTGTGCCCAGCAGATCACCCACCTGTGCCCAGCAGTGCACCCACCTGTGCCACTCTGCAGTGTCACACACCTGTGCCCAGAAGTGCCACCTACCTGTGCCCAGCAGTGCCACCCACCTGTGCCCACCCACCTGTGCCCACCAGTGCCACCCACCTGTGCCCACCCACCAGTGCTGCCCACCAGTGCCACCCACCAGTGCAGCCCAGCAGTGCTGCCAGTCAGTGCCACCAGTCAGTACCCAGCGGTTGTGCCAGTCAGTGCCGCCAGTCAGTGCCCAGCAGTGATGCCAGTCAGTGCCGTCTATCAGTACACATCATCAGTGTCACCTATCAGTGCTGCCTATCAGTGCTGCATATTAGTGCTGCCTATCAGTGCTGCATATTAGTGCTGCCTATCCGTGACACCTCATTAGTACTGCCTATCAGTGCCGCCTATCCGTGCCACCTCATTAGTTCTGCCTATCAGTGCCCTTTAGTGCTGCCTATCAGTGCCCATTAGTGCTGCCTCATCAACGTACATCAGTGAAGGAGAAAAATTACCTGTTTGAAAAATTTTATAATAGAAACAAAGAAACTTTTTTTTTTCAAATTTTTTGCACTTTTTTATTTATAGCGCAAAAAGTAAAGTGCCCAGTGGCAATTAAATACCACCAAAAGAAAGCTCTATTTGTGAGAAAAAAATGATCAAAATTTCATATGGGTACAATGTTGCATGACCGCGCAATTGTCAATCAAAGTGCAGCAGTGCTGAAAGCTGAAAATTGGCCTGGTAAATAAGGGGGTATAAGTGCCTGGTAGGCAAGGGGTTAAACATGTCCAGTAAAAAAAACTTAAAAAATCAAATTTCATCATAAATTTAGGCCAAAATTTATTCTGCTACATGTCTTTGCTAAAAAAAAATCCCAATACGTGTAAATTAATTGGTTTACGTGGAAAGTTATAGTGTTTACAAATGGCGATATATATACTGGGCTTTTTTTTTTCACTAGTAATGGCAGCGATCAGCGACTTATAGCAGGACTGCGGTGGGAAGACTGACTTGGTGTCACTGACATCCCCAGTGACACTGATACAGTGATCAGTGCTAATAAAAAGCACTGACACTGTACTAATGGCACTGGGCAGGAAGGGGTTAACATGAGGGTCGATCAAAGGGTTAACTGTGTGCTGTTTTTTACTATGGTGGCTGTGTGTGTGCTTCAATGTAAGCACATTGCAGTGCACAGGAGCTGACAGGGGAGAGAACTGTATTGTTTATACACCAGTCTCTCCCCGTCGGTAATCCTCGGTAATCACCGGATGTTGGTGAGCAATCACTGGCTGGGACCCGGAAATTGACAGCCGGGGCCACAAGTGGCGGCTACCGTAAATGTCGTATACCGTACCCAGAAATGCAAAATTGCGCATATATATGTGATTTTGCGCACCCGTGCCGCCCTGTAGCAGTATTCCTCCTATAGGGCGGGCGGGAAGCAGTTAAGATCTTTTGACTCGGAGACAAGACTGCCAAGAATGTTCCTAGGTGGAGTCAGCGCTGTGTGTAACCGCTGCATGATTCCGCCGGCCGTTGTTTACCAGCTGCATGGGAAGGAATGGCATGGAAATACACAGCGATTGTTATAGGACAATACTCTGACTGTGTGCGGCTCTGTGCTGAGCTCAGGGTCAGGCTGAAACTACAAATGTAATGTCATGCTCCACTAAGCCAGTGACATAAAGTTAAAAAAAAAAAAAAAGTAGTTGTGGTTCTTTTTCAATGCAAAGAATTTTCTCATGGGTTGGCTGAGCCAAGGCACATAAACATAGTATGGAAAGGTAACCAACTGCTTAAAGCGAACCTATAGTTGCATATTCACTAATCAAACATTTTGTGTTCTTGTGTAAGTAAATATGACAGCAAAGGACCTGCCGTGGGTGCGTTTGGGAACACCTCTTCTTCAATATTAGGAAGGGGTTCTCAGATAACCAGATCTGAAAGACAAACTGGATTGGGTTGAGTGCACTGCAGGTATGAATGCGTGAAATATTACTGTCTTGAGCATGTAGGCTGGGCTCAACTCAAGCATCTCAAGGATTCATTTTCAGTTCTTAGTGGAGTGTGCACATGGCACACCAGCCACATGGTGATATATGCACACCATAGTACCTACGCCTAGGATCACATATGTGCGGGTCAGGAATGCGTACATAATTTCGCATCCTGACCTGCTGGAAAATCACACTGCTCGTTAGTTGGTGTGCGGGGATGCCATTTATTCTTAATGACACCCCCACGTATCGGAAAATATGGTGTGATTCTGCATATGGAGAAACCACCAGTGTTTGATTAAAAGGAAACTATCACGTCTATCCTGTTGTGTAATATAGATTTGTAACTTCCATCAAAAGTCTTCCAAAGTTTTTAATGATAAAGTCTGGTTCATAGCAGAATAAAGTGTGTATCAGGCTCCATCCACATTAGTGCTTTTCAAAAATCACATGATTTCCAGTGCGACTTTGGAGTGAAATTTTGACGCGACTTTACACTCTGTGGAGCAAAGTCGCACCAAAGTAGTGCAGGCATCTTTTCACAATCACTGTGACTTTAGGTCGCACTGATCTCAACTTTGCCATTACAAACAATGAGCTGCTACTTGTAATGTGACTTGTCAAGGCCAAAGTCGCATGACAGTTTGCACAAGTGTGAATGGGCCCTCATTCTTTCTTGAAACTAGAACAACTTACTCAAAGAGGTACTGGGAACTTTTAGATCTGCATATGTAGTCGAATGAAGGAAAACTTTAAACAAGCTCAACAGCTCTGGCGAGTTGGCTCCCATATAGTAAAAGCTTCCCTCGATTGGTACCCAACAGGAGCTCAAACTATTGAAATATAGAAAGTACAGTAGTACCAGACCAAAATCAGATGCAAGACTCCAAGATAAATTTATGTGTTGGTGAATAAGTCATTTAAAAAAAACAGGTTTCAGGGGCAACACACTCTCCCTTCATCAGGGCTCAACACAGGATACAACTGGAACAGACTCAGAGAAAACATTGACTTTACAGATGTACCAATATTACAGCAAGTAATAAAGTTTCCACATGGAGTAACAACTTGACAGTAGTTTCTGAGCGATCCCTGATGAAGGGGGTGTGGTGCTGCCCTCGAAACTCGTTGGCTGTTTTTTTTATATGACTTTTTTTACCAACAATTAAAATGATCTTTGACTCTTTTGACCCTGTATTGGTCTGGTTCCCCTTTCTGTATTTTTATGGGTTGACTCTTTCTTGAAAGACTCCAAAGAGAATATCAGTTACAGAGTCAAAGGAGCTAGAAATATTTTGCCAATTGACACTTCCACAGCTGTCATTAAAACGTTTGGTCACAGCCATCCAAAAACTTGCGCCCAGAAAGAATATATAACAAGCATATATGGCTGCCCAGTTTACATTTCTATAATGAACATCTATAACATAAATAAGATTTTTATATGAGTTCTTCATATTGACTATATTATTTATTTTTGTGCTTTTTCTCTCTAGGAAAAATTGCCAACAATGTCTCTAAGCAAAGAAGGAGCCCATAAGAAATGGGTGAGCCTAAAAGAAAAGCTGTCACCCCAAGATTCGGACCAGAGCGAGGCCAATTTAGAGAATGCGGACCCTGAACTTTGTATTCGTCTTCTCCAAATCCCATCTGTGGTGAACTATTCTGGCCTGAAGAAGCGACTAGAGAGTAGTGATGACCAATGGATGGTACAGTTCCTGGAACTCAGTGGTCTGGATCTTCTGCTCGAGGCCCTGGATAGGCTGTCGGGCAGGGGAGTGTCAAGGATCTCTGATGCTCTTCTACAACTCACTTGCATAAACTGTGTTCGAACACTAATGAATTCCCATAAGGGGATTGAGTATATCGTCAATAATGAAGGTTATGTCAGAAAGCTTTCTCAAGGTGAGCTTGTTAACTTTTGATATTTATGATTTAGGAGTGTCACAGTAATGAATTCCCATATGAACCTTGGTTTGTTCCAATGCCATTCCATCTATATCCCCATCTGACCTAACTATATAATGCACTAACATGCATGCTAAGTAATATGTAAGTGTAACATTTTCCTCTGCCAGGACATTGTATTCTGACCTTAGCACCCATTGCTGTCAGAATGCACGGATCAGCAGCCGTAGCTGATTTTCTGCAGCCACTGATCGTTTACAAAATTTTCAACATGTCCCTTTAATAGAAACTGATTAAACATGCGACTTCTATCAAGCGGTGGAGCCCACACACTGATCGAAATTTAGCTAGTCCATCGAGGGGTACCGGAGCTGTGACTACAGTTGGGATTATTCTTTTATGTTATGTTTTCTTATAAACTGCGGGAATGCCCAAAGGCTCTGTTTTGAAGAGTATTTTTCTAAAAACTAATTAAAACTATTTTGAAAAAAAAAACAAATTTGGCTAGTCCCTGCTGGACCAGACAAATTTCAATCAGTGTATGGACAGCTAAGAGGTGAACTGGGAGCTGTCAGTGGTAGCAGTGAGGGGAACTGTGTAAGGTGAGACAATATATGAAGCCTCTCCATTGTGAGTGGTGCACCCAAGCTCCGATGATGTTTGGAGGAGTGCCATGTGCCTTAGATGGTGCTCCCCCAGGCTCTATGGATGGCAATTGAAATGATTTGGTGCATAATGATGGATTGCTATAACAAATACCTGCCACACCACAGTTAGACCTTCTGAGTCCAAAACACATTCCATAAAGCGTATGTAAAACCAAAATTTTTTTTTGTAATGATTTCATTTTGGATAAAAATGTAGAACCTCTGGGGTTTCCTTGCTGTCTTTGTTTAGGCTGGAGAGATTCACCCTTTCTGTTAGTCCTGGTGATCATTGTCTCCAGTACAGAAAGTGATGGGATATCCAAAATGTTTGAGTTGTCTCAGAAAAAGAAAGGATTTCTTCCAATGGGTAAACCTGTTCTGATGACAACTATCTAAGTGGATATATCCCCCTGCTTTGGAGAGATTACCTCTTACTTCTTGCTATGTCTTTGGAACAGCAGGTGAAGGAAAATCTCCCCAATGGGACACAAAAGGAAAGAACAAAATAGAATATGGTCTTTACTCTTTCCTACTCTACCCAAAACTGTAAAAAAATTTTGCCCATTTATTATGTTTTAATGAAAAATAAAAAGAGTGATTTACTTTAATAAAAAAATGAAAAACTCTTCAGAAAAACAACCTCTACATGTAAATTCAGCATTATCCATTCGCTGAGGGGGGATCAGCGAATGGTTTGCCTAAGGTAAGATGGCTGGTGCACTGGAAGGGTTAGAGGCTTGAGGAAAATAATGGAATAAAAATGTTGAATGTTGGTGTTGCTTCACAGTACCCTGTTGCCCCAGGCAAAGGTCCACATATACGTTATGGTACATACACCCCTGCATAGACACCATAGATTTTTCAAATATGGTTCATTATTATTATGCAACCCAACTTTGATAAATTAGCCTAGTGGATGCTGCCTACTGGGATCTGCTGAATAGCCACCAGCTTCCCCCCAATAGATTTCAATTTTATAGAATCTTTTTAAAGGACATATGTAAATAATTACCCCTATTCATTGGTCTTAAACTATAGAGATTTGATTGTATTTTTATTTCTATATAGCTCTGGACACGTCCAATGTAATGGTGAAAAAGCAAGTGTTTGAATTGATAGCAGCCTTATGTATCTATTCCACGGAAGGACATGACTTGGCTTTGGATGCACTTGAGCATTATAAGGTAAATCATTTTGTTGAATGACAATCTGAGCCTTTCAACTGCCTGCTAATGAATGAACCTTGCATGGCTTGTGCGCTCATTTTTCAGGCTTGTCCAGGTATACTGTATATATGATAAGTAGCATGAAGAGAACAGTAGAAGTGACCACACTGAAATACTAGCCATTTACAGGTGGTACTTTCAGGGCCAACTACAGCCAGGACCGGTGCGAGACTATTTTGCGCCCTAGGCAAAGCCAGCTGGTTGCAACCCCCCTCCCCAAAAAAAAATAAAACTTCAAAATGAATTCAATAATTCTAGCACCAGATCTCCTGCATTACACGAAACTAATGACCTGTAGGGGCTTTGCATGTGTGTGCCCATGAAGCAGCAGAGAACTTCACTATATTCAGTATATTTTCTCATAGGCAACACTTTAAAAGCTCCTGCAGGCAATCAGTTTAGAGTATTACAGGGGTTCTGATACTAGAATTATTGCTCTCACTCTGGAGTCCACGGTGATACATATGTGTAGGGCAATCACAGGCGCCAAAGCACATGCATTTTGGTATGCGTATTGGTGCTCTAAACATTTTTTCTTTTTAAATGTTTAAAACTTTTTTTATACTTTTACTATTTGTATTCTTTATTTTTTATTTACATAACTTTTATTGCTATCACAAAGTGGACAAATAGCCCCCTATGTGATAGCATATACAGTAGGTGACAGGTACTGCTGCAGCACCATTAAAAAGCCAAATACTCAGCATGTGGCTGGGGATTTGGATTTTACCACCCCCATCCCCGCAGCCTTGTCCTGGTTCCGGCCCTGTGTGACAGGCAGACCCAGGCTGTCATTAGTACACAGGGGAGATCAGTGGATGGTGTCATGTGGGGGAAGTGATAAGGAGCTCAGATGCTCCCAGCCAGGGATGTTCCCCCCATTGTGGTCAAGGCTGGCACAGGGTTCCCTGGCTCTGGCAGTGATTAAGGGGGTGATGATGTTGTCCCCCCTCCCCAGACAGGTCCATGATCAGTATGTGTATACTCACTGCTCACTGATCTCCCTCTTCCTCCCGATGCATGATGAGGTGTTGGGGATTCCCTGGACCGATCCTGGCTGTCTCTGTCCACATTGCCGCTCACACTACTCCTCAAATGTAGTTTGCGCCGACGTGCGCTGACTCATTGGGACACCATCACCATGGATTCCTGCCATTCTGGACCACCAATGGACTCTACCTGTGCAGGTATGCTGGGGAAGCCACAGTTAGCATTAGTTAGGAAAAAGTCTCTCTCCTGTTAAGATTCTATGCTGAGTTTTACCACTAAAGCTTGTGAATCAATGTTCTTCCTGGTGTGAAATCATTCTAAAGGACTGTATGACAGTAACTGGCACAATACACATAGACACCTGAAGCTTGGGTCAGTTAAAGCACATTGGGGTATAAAGTCAGTCTCTTCAAAAGTCAACATGGTTCAGAAGATGAAGAAGTGGTTGTCAAGAGTAACTAGAGAGTAGTAACCAGTACAAGCAGCTTGTCATGAAGTACCAGTGTTAGGTGAGGCAGCGAGGGGACACTGCTTTGGGCTCCCTCCCTAGCTGTCTCTCTCCCATAGCAACGGGAGAAGATCAGCATCACGGAGGTCGTCAGCCACAAGGTATGGGAAGCAAGAGGAACAAAGTGCACGTGTGAGGTCTGTGCTAGGTACAAGGCAGGACCCCGTTCTGTTACTGGGAGTAAAGTACGCTGGACTGGTGGAGTGGGCATAGGCTCAGCCTGTCCCTCCTACATGCAACAATTACAGTCAAGGTGTGCATTGACATGGGACCACTCAGTTCACTCAGTGTACATAGTGTTCAACCCATTTTTATTTTCTCTGAATGCAGTCCCCACCTTGTCCCAGGGCATTGATGAGCGCAGCACCGCAAAAGGTACCCTGTGTGCAGAGTGAGTGACCTTGTCCAAAATGACTAGGGTTGCCCAGAAGAGCCCAATAACCCCCCTCCATGGAGGACTTCCATTACTGACTGATTAGTTTGTGACACACTTAGTTATAAAGACAGGTTCAGGGTTATAGCCCCAGAGCTTGCACCTTGAGACTGGCCTGCACAGAGTCCTGATCTCAACCCAATAGAACACCTTTGGGATGAATTAGAGCGGAGACTGTGAGCCAGGCCTTCTCATCCGACATCAGTCCGACATGCTCCTTGCTGTGAAGGCCAGTTATAGACTGGGGCAGTGGCTATTGTTTGTACATCCAACATCAATGCCTGACCTCACAAATGCACTTCTGGAAGAATGGTCAAACATTCCCATAGACACCCTCCTAAACCTTGTGGACAGCCTTCCCAGAAGAGTTGAAGCTGTTATAGCTGCAAAGGGTGGGCCAGCTCAATAATAAACCTTACGGACTAAGACTGGGATGCCATGAAAGTTCATGTGTGTGTAAAGACACCGGCATCCCAATACTTTTGCCAATATAGTGTATGTGTATATATATATACACACACATCTCCTGAACATAGTAAATTAATAATAAAATAAATACAAACACAGTAGCATTCCTTCTTTCAGGAAGCACAGTATGAATATCTAATGGACATATAAAGTGGCCCCATCTACTTATGTATATGTATCTACAAATTATAGACCGGGAGGGATCATTCTCCCATTCTGTATAACATCATCCCTCGATTTATAAAACATTTATTTCCAGGCGGGCGCTCTCTTTGTTTCCGTATGCGATGTCTGTGTATAAATAGCTGTACACAGAGGAGCAGAGCGAAAGCAGCATAACATGAATAAATGAATTAACAAATTTATTATGTTACTACTTATTATGCTCTATAAATTGGAACCTGGGATTACTCAACACAATCTAATTAAATGCAACATGTGTTTTGATTCATAAATCGGGCTTTTTTTTGTGTTGAGCTGGGATTCGTTGAAATCTGCAAGAAAAGAACAAACAAAGCGGCTGACAGCCTTCGGGAATGAATGTTTGTAGAAGACAGATTTTACATTGACTTCCCTTAACTTTCTGAGATGGGAAAGAGGGACATCTACTAGCACAATATCTAGGCAGAGGACACTCTCCTGATGCACCCCAGTTGCATAGACCATGAACCCCCAACTTGGGACCCATTGAACATTTCCTTTGTGTTGCAGGACGTTACTGCATATGCATTATTTTGCCTCTTACTGTGCATTCATTTCTGAATACAGGGGCAACAACCAGAAAGAAAGCTTAAACAGCCCTGCAGCATATTGTTCATAGCATATGTGCATTGAGGTGCATCAGTAAGCTGCATTGGACTACCACAAAGTACTACAGTGAGGTCCGCTGTTTGCAGTAATGCATGTTATACCACACGTTACAGCAACCAAGTAGTGTGAATAGAGCAACTGTGTGATCAACGCTCTTTTTCAGCACTACATCTCCTTCATACTAACTGTGACCATACACAAGAATCTTAGAGCACCATCTAAGTGCCAAGTCACAGAAAAGGCCAATGGCTTATTGATGTCAGATGGCAGAGTTCAAGGAGCCAGCCCAGCCCACTCGATCATCCAAGCAACAACAGATAGGAAGCCACACACCAAGGAACAGTCTGGCTATGAGATAATGAAAAGTGGCTTCAGCCTAACTCCTTGTAGACCACACTGTCGCCCCACTGACGCATTTTGCCCTGCCCATCGCCATTCTATGACTAAGCTTGGTGGGTGGGGCAGTTGAAGCTGCTTTTCACTATCTTATAGCCGGGCTGTTCCCTGGTGTGCGACGTCCTACCTGTTGTTCCTTCATACGAAAGTTCAAAAATGTAAAAAAGCACACAGGAGGGCGCAGATGCCTAATGCATTACCACAAGGTGTATGATGTAAAATTAACCAAAGGCCAAATCCATACACACAAAAAGAAGAAAAATGCATGCGTCACATCTCATCAACCCAAGATCCAGTGCTGGTGTCATGTGACTAAACCCGTGCACCACGATGTGAGAAGCTGACACGTTTCATGGGACACACCCCCTTCCTCACAGCTATATAGCTTTGAGGAAGGGGTGCATCCACCAAAAACTCGCAGACCAAGAACTGAGCCATCAGTGGTCATGTGATCGCTCAGTTCTTGGTCTTAGAGCCAACATTGGACAGCTGCAACATTAGACCAATGCTTCAACATGGAGGTGAGTATCTATTTTTTATTTTTATAATCTCATACTTCTCCTTTTAAGAGTCTGTTAAAGGGCCACTGGGCAGCTGTGGCAAGGGATTAAAAAGAACTAGGCATGGTCAAAGTTGGGTTTATGAAAGAAGCTGAATATTTAGTTGGAAAGCCCTACTCCAGGCAACGAAAGGTCTTCCCATTCAGGTAGACTGTGTCCCCACTGTAGGGGAAAAAAGTTCTTTTTGTCTAGGAAGAAAGCTTATACTCACCCAATTCTTTGTTCCAAAAAGGGGACTCCCCTGTGGTCCAGCAGTGGACTGTTTCTGGTCTGTTGAGCCTGCTCTGGCCTTTAATGACGTCAGGAACAGTCCACAACTCAAGACAGCTGGAGGGCCGGGGTGCCAGACCGGACTTGTGCTGGAAGGATCTGAGGATCAGGTAAGTATATCTTATCTCTCCAGTCCCCTTGGCAAAAACGAGGAGTTAACCTGTGCAGTGCAGGCACAGACCCCCCCCCGCATGGAAAGAAACGCGCAGATGCAAACACAGCCTGAATGACAAAGCAAACGTGACGTGTTTCCAAAACACACAACAAAGTGCGCATTTTCTGTGTGAATTGCCACACGTTTAGAAGCACGCAGATGCAAACACAGCTTAAATGGCACGTAAGCTTGATGCGCATTTCTGTGCATTTCCAAAACACACAGCAAAGTGCCCTTTTTTTTGTGTGTGTTCTTGCGCGCTTGGAAATGCGCAAATGCAGCCTAAATGGCCACACAAATGCAATGTGCAGTAACCAAGCATAGCCACAATACACACCAAAGTGCATGTTTTCTGTGCAGGTTGCATGT